ACTCATGTGGTTAAACTCTGCCATTTACTTTTCAGTAATGCTCATTTATCAGTCAACCCGTTATTGGTCTGCAGTTGTGTGCCTGCACCATGGACACTGTGTGTAGAACTGTGCATATATTTAAGAATATTCCCAGCCAGACTCGTTGGTCTATTGTGGGGTCCAACTTACTTGCTGCAGCCAGTTAAACGCAGCCATCTTAAGCTGCATGCCGTTTAGCTTCAAGGTCGGAAGTTGGAGCTGGGAATGATGTCACACCCAAGTTAACCGCTTTGCAGTACAAGTCAGAAAACCACTTATCAATACCAGTCGTAGCCAGGTTTGTTATCCTTTTTTATTAAAAGCAGTTAATAACAACGTATTGCACGGTATTTTGTGCATACAAACATGTCCACAGATAGCAGTTGGACAGGACTGTGTACAACCAATTTATTGAAACACAAATAAAACGCAAGTGCTAATGAACAGTATATAACTACAGCGTTCACTTCCTTTGATGACGGGTGCAGCCATGTTGAATTCTGGGGCCGAGTTGCACAGGTTCCTCCAACATTCTGAGTCGGAATTCCAACTTCAGGTACCTGTGGGCTGCAGTTCTGTTTTTTGATGGTCATTTTCAGATCAAAGCACTACCTTACCTCTGCCGCCGTTCCCATTACTGGTGAATCAGCGCTAACAGTTTGTGTCCCCTGTCCACATGCTAGGCTCTTCCCTTTCTTTGACTGGCTGCTGGGGCAGTTGTCGATTAGGGACCTATTTGTAATTGTTTTTTTCCTGTTACATCCAGCAAAACTTCACCTTGATCCCGGTGAAGTTTCTTATCTCCCCTCTGCTCAGTATGTAGTGCAAACAGGAATAAGGGTGTATAAGGGGTTGTCTCTTCACGGTTTCCATATCTGCAAAATGTTCTATCGTGCAGTTCGACGTGTTATGCAGAAGTTGTATGCCCATATAAGGGCCTTTAAGGTTGAATCATCTCTCTTTAAATTAGCCGCGCATGCAGAGTCACATTGAGAACACATGAGACTTGTCATTTATCAGCTTCATATGGCTGTTCATACGCACGAGTGATCATTCCGATTTGCCTGTGCGTACCAGTGCTTCATACGCACACATTTAGGAGTTGTCTTACTCGCACACTGAAAAATGAGAGCCCTGGTTATTAAGGTAGTGAAACCTTTTTTTAACGCAGGAAAGCCCACATTTTGTTTCCTGGCCTCATGGTGGCCTGTTCCTGGGTGGCACAGATCTTTTTTTTGTGCCAAAAATGGGGGCAAGACTTGGAAGATTTCCCTGGTTGCATTATTCCTACTGGACAGCAGCCATTGATGGGCGTCCTGATCAGACCGCCACAGCTGTGACCGGTGCTGCTGGGTTCAGTATAATTTTTATCATTTTTATTGACATATTTCTGCTCTTTAGATATTAAAATATTCTGCTTTCCTATTTCAAGGCCTCAGTAGCATCTCAAAACGTCTCATCTACAAAGTCATTTTAACCTGAACTCTGTTGAGGAAATTCAAAGTTTCTGAGTTTTAATGAATTGTGGGCAACTACACAAGCGTTTTTTTTAACCTAGTGGGTGCATTCCTGAGATTTTATGACTTCCGTCCCATGCAGAGTATATGAATAATGTGCGTTACCGATAGAGAGGAAGTGTTTCATCTGAACCGAGAGTGGTGGGGCTCCTGTTCTCCTGCGATATGGATGAAATCATCTGAGGAATCGTCTGACGGATGAAGGTAACACCTACTGCTATAGCCATGGTTTCGTGTCGCAGATGCAGGCTGTTACCCAGAAAAAACTGCTCTGAATATCTGGGTTCCTCTTCCTGAAGTGGCCCAACTGTTGTACTACTAACATCTAATATTGAACCTAAATGACCTAAAAATACATTTTAGTGTAAACAGTAAAAAGTCATCTTAAATAAGGCCTTTGTTATGCCATCTACTATTTGAGTTGGGGGCGGGGCGGGAGGGGGGGCGCTTTAACGGGAACGTGGCGTACGGCAGACTCACGAGTGCGCTGCAGTGTCCTGGCTCTGTCTCTGCCGTCGTTCCTCTGGCTTCACCTCTCTGCTGAGCCCATCGACTTGAAGAGACTGCCAGCCCAAATGTGGCTTATGTGGGCTTTTATTTACGGCAGAGGAAGGAGTGATTCCAAAACGGGTATGAAAAAAAAACACAAAACGGTTAAGCTTTATCATATTTGTGGCTTTAGATTATATGCTGCACATCTGGTTCCTTGTGTAGCTATTAGTGGGTAGAATTAATGTTAATCCTGTTTTGGGCTGAGGCTAGAAATGTAAGGTATTTCTCCTTAATCTCCGGCTCTGAGATGCTCTCCTTTCTGGTAAGCAGCTGAGCGCTGGGTCCTGCTTCATAAGCGAATATGCAGAGCCCCTGTGCAGGAACAGGCCACCGGCCGCGGCTTCATAAGCGAACATGCAGAGCCCCTGTGCAGGAACAGGCCACCGGCCGCGGCTTCATAAGCGAACATGCAGAGCCCCTGTGCAGGAACAGGCCACCGGCCGCGGCTTCATAAGCGAACATGCAGAGCCCCTGTGCAGGAACAGGCCACCGGCCGCCTCGTGGCTTTTTTACTGCCTGCTGATCTGAGCCCAGTTTTGTCTCCATTCGTGTTATTTTGCAGCTCTTCAGCTTTTCTGCTTTCAGTGAGGAAAAAGGCACCAAGCTGTGAATGATCCTCGAACGCAGAGTGTCTCTCAGAGCTCGAACATGCGCCTTTGAAGGCCAGACTCATCTGATTTGTGTCTGGAGGAGCAGGTGAGGCAGGAGCTGACACCCGGAGGAAAGCTGCCGTCGTCAGTGAACTGCGGCCTGGGGGGGCCAGCATGCCTCCGCCATGAATGCACTGATTTGGATGAAAGTGTAGCTTTGAGTGACTGAGATGCCTTCAGACCGCGGGACATAAGAGCTGAACAGAAGCCTCCGGAACCTCTGAGGTTTCTAGCTTCCGTCGGCACTGAGGAAGCCCCAAACTGTGCCTCTCTCGCCTGGCCGGCTTTGGCCGCGGTTCTGCTGGGTAGCAGTAAAGCAGCAATTAGCAGCCCCCCCCCATTGCACAAACCATCCTGCTCCCTGATTGGCTAAAGCTACCAAGATGCTGTGGAACATTCTAGGCTCAGCCTTTATGCTGGGAAGCTGCCGATTGTCGTGGCTGATGCTGCCAGTGTGTCCCTGAGAGTCTGCCAGACTGCCCCCCTCCCCCATTCAGTAGACTGGCTCGACCCCTCCCCTCCGTGCCTCAGCTGCCTAATATTTAACATCAGCTGCTATCTGGGGGGAGATGTTTGAAGTTTCAAACCCATAACCTACTGCGAACCCCACGGAGGCAGACAGGTGCAAGACTGAATGGGCTCTTCATAGTGAACATGAACTGCTAAATAGCTTTAATTTACTAGAGGACTGAAAAATGCCTAGTTTGTGCTGTCATGTGGCTCTTCGGGTTCCCATAGACAGGTGATCCTTTCTCTGTGGCAGATTGGAATCTCCTTTATATAGTTTCCTTACTGTTTGTGGGTGTGACATTCCTGAGAAGATGCTGGGAACTTCTCTGTTATCTGGCCTGTGTGTCTCCCCACGGCCTGTGCTGTCGCATGGGTAATTGAATTTGCTTGAGAGAGCGAGCATAAGGGCACAGTGTGAAGTGCCAGAAGGGGAAGGTGTGGCCACCTGCGAGATGCAACGTCGGCTCTCCGCCAGCCCCACCTGGCGATCACCGTGTGTACGGTCAGCAGCAGCTTGCAGGTCCGGCGGCTGCCCTTGGGAGGCGCTGTCTGGCGTCACCATCCGTACAGTCAGCAGCGACCTGGCAGGTTCTTGGCATCTTGGCATGTAGGGCCAATGGTGTTGCGGTAATTAAGAGCCCGAACGTTGACGTTTTAACTCCGATAGTCGGAGATCGATGGCGGAGGGTCAGTCGCGATGCCGTCAGCCTGACACACGCTGAGTTTCTTCCCTGTTTTTGCCCCCATCCCCTGCCTCTCCTTTTAAGGTGTTTCCAGCTTTGTCATGGCGCTCTGCTGTCAGGCAGGGGGGGGGGTGTCTCTGACTCGCTGGCCGCTCGCTGGCATCCGCTGTCAGTGACTCTCGCTGTGCCAGGCAAGACTGGGAGGCCTGTGGAGATGGAATGCAGCAGCCATCAAGGGGGTTTGCAGTAGGGGGTGGTTAAGCTGTCCCCCCCCCCCCCGTCAGGTTCACTGCAGGGTTAGCGAGGTGCTCCTGCTTTGACAGGCTCTGGGTCTGACTCTCATTAGCAGCCTCCAGTGGTTCACAGTGGGCAGAGACAGTAATCTGTTTGATGGCACTGGAAGAGGCACAGCGCCCCCACCCCCCAACCAAGGCCCCCAAAAAGCTTTTGTGCACCCCAGAGTTATGGCTAATTACTGATGCCCAATTAGAAACGGTTAATTTGCTGCAATGTAGGACGTTCAGTCTTCTCTCTTCATGCCCCCTTTTAGTGCTGTAGTGTATAAACTCAAAGCTGGAAGCTATTGGAAGCTGGGGACATGGGGAGGGGGGGGGTCTGCCTTAGTCTGTTAGAATCTTCTAGACTCAAGGTTCTAGACTCAAAATATAAACCTCACATCTTTTGTTTTCCTCGCGGATATCCGATTCATGCTGGCTGCAGTGTTGACATGAGTATGGTGTGGTAATTCTGAAAACAGGCTTTACTGGCGACCAGGTCCTGGGATCCAGGCAATATCCGGTGCCAGTTGAGCCCCACAGAATTTAGCCACAGTGTGGCGTCCTGAAGCGGCCGGCGAGCGTCTGTTCGGCGCGAAGCGCTGTTCCCGAACTGCGGAGAACCCCCCCCTACCGCGGCCCTCCATGTCATTATCGGATCTCCACCGCAGCAGATTTATGGTGCTGTGGCATTGATCCACACTGTGGTGCACGAGGCTCTATTGAAGTCTTGCTTTTGTGCTTGTGTCACTAGTGAGCTCAGGTTAACGTGTCTTTTATCCTCTTTTTCAGGTGCTGGGGAGTCTGGAAAAAGCACAATAGTAAAGCAGATGAAGTAAGATTCCATTTTTCGTAACTTGCTTCATTGTAGGGAAACGGCGAGTAACTCATAGCTTGCAGTACTGACTTGCCTGCCTTGTTCTACCCCAGAATACTCCCCAGTTGCATGAATGGATGAATTACTGTGCATGTTTGTGCATGTTGAGATGTTATCCTCTCTGATGCTGACTGAGGAAATGTCATTGGAGGCATTTCATGTTCCTGAGTACCTTGAAGACGCTGTTAGCCGTTACTTTTGGGTGACAGCTGGACTTTTCCTGTCTCCATTGAATTCTGGGTCTTTGTGATCCTTCCAGGAGGCTGAAAATAAATCATTTGCGAAATCTGGAGAATAGTTTCATTTCTGCCTGAGCGTCTACAAAAATATAGAATTATTATGACTATTCTTTCAAATAGTCAAAAGGATACTGAGGCGTCATGAATATTTAATGCCTCTGTCTGATTGGCAGACAACGCTCCAATCCAAACTGCCATTGGTCGCTCACAATGAAAACTCCCCCCTGCAGAACCTGCCACAGTAGCAGATCAGCGCCGATAACATTTCTCCGTGCTTTTTACTGGAGCCTTTAAGTGTCAGATAATCCGATTTTTTTGCCTAGACTGAGCTCTTGAGTTTTCTCATGACAATAAAAACCCTGGAGTAATGGTAGATGAAATGCTTTCATCACTGGGTAATAGTCTGTTCACATGGCTGAAGGGGAGCCCAGTGCTCCATTACATCGTGTCACTTAAGGACCTCCAGCAGTGCTGTTGGGCATCGCAGCCTCTGTCAGGGCCTGGATATCGACGTTTGCCAAGTTTATAATATAAGACTTATAATCTCAGCTGTTTCCTGGCACTGAAGGCAACTCGTATCTAAGAATTTCTTCAAGTTAAAGGTGCATATCGGCACGTATTAAATATATATTAAATAACGATGAAATGTAACAGGGAGGCCTTTGTCATTTATCCATTACCCTCCCCCCCCCAGGATCATCCACGAAGACGGTTATTCTGAGGAGGAGTGCAGGCAGTACAGGGTGGTGGTCTACAGCAACACCATCCAGTCCATCATTGCCATCATCAGGGCCATGGGCCGGCTGAAGGTGGACTTCGGGGATCCGGCCAGAGCCGTGAGTAGCCTCAGACAGACTCTGTTCCTCTAACTATCTGTCTAAAGTTTATTTTGATTTCAAATCTGAAAGGTCTGCATTAAAGGCCCAGTAAGTTCACGTGCAATTTAAAAATGCAGAGGTGGTTTAGATCGGAAGCTTGGAGTGGGTGAGAGGGTAAATCCAGACTCGTATCCCAGTCTGTCAGGGTTTAGTCTGTCTTAACTCACCGATATTCTGAGATTAACCATATGCTTGGGATTCTCGCAGACTAATGTTTTACATTCCTTAAGTTCTCCTGAGTGTGGACACCAGGGAAGCCCGTGTGAATGTATTTTATGCTTTTTGAATGATTCGTTTAGCCCAGCTTTGCTTTTCATCTCTCGTGACTCTGTGGTGAAAGAAGAGGTCTTCAACAGGATAGAATAGCGCTCCTTTATTGATCCCCATGGGTAGATTGAACAGCTCCTCTTGTGTCTGAGTGTTTCATGAAGAGCATCACCGGTGAGAGCAAGCTTGGGGGGTCACAGCATGGGGTCAGCCAGTGTGGAGAGCCCCTGGAGTGCTGGGGGGTTAAAGGCCTCGCTGAAGGGCTTACTGTGACACCAGTCTCACTGCCCCAGGATTAGAACCAGTGACCTTCTGATTACCCCCAGTATGGCAATGCAGGCTGTAATTCAAATGCTGAGTTTTTTTTTAAAGCATGAACCACAAAAGAAAGTACTGGTGCTTATAAAGAAAGGCGCTGAGTAATCATCTAATGCGGAGACGCTCCTGAGGCGTGGTGCTTAGCTGCCGAGCGCGGGACGGGCTCCGCTTCTGCTGGCTGCCGTCCACTGCAGGGTCGGACCCCAGTCTGATGTCACGACTAGCTCAAACGGCAAGCGAGACCTTCCGTTATTGCCAGGGTGGGAGGAATCTGTCAGAGCTAGAGGTCCTGGGGCTGTTTTCCTTCAGTGAGGCAGCCAAGGCACAGCCAGCCTCGCCCCCCCGTGCGAGGGTGCAGGCGGGGGAGGATTTGTCACATTTCTTGCTTAGAAAAGGGTAGAAACAAGTTGTGACAACACAACAGGACGTGTGCATTGTTTAGACGCATAACGCTTTCTGAGTAATGTTCATTTTGAGGTATTTATGACCAGTTTGTGATCTGGTTCCTGCCGTTCGATGATTTGGGTGTTTAGTGCGAGACCGGTGTCTCGTGTTTGGGGGAAGTGTGTTCCGCTTGTGGTTTTGAAGGCTGCAGGGCGCCTGCCCGCCTCTCCGCATTCACTGAGCTCCTTGACATCCCCCCGGTTTAATGCAGCACTGGCGCGGTTTAGCCTGATATAAACGGTAGGCTTGTGTGCCGAAAGTGATTCATCCCTCCAGTCCTGGAGAAGCGCCGTGGCCGACTCGTTGAGCAAACCTTGAAGATCAGCCACGTCCGAGCGTGATGCCGCTGGCGTTTCTGCCTGGATTCCAGCCAGAACAGAGGGGCTGATGCTATTGAAGCACACAGTACAGACCCCTCTGACCTCGGGGTTTCACACAAGTGGGGAAAAAAAACACGTTGGATGTAAGGCTTAGGCTGGCTCTGCATTCCTTTTTGCTCTGTGGCTGCGCTGAAACTGCTCCAAGCTCATCTTGAGGAACATTTTGGTGAAAACTGTTTTCCTCTCTGTTTTTTTCCTTTAATCCTGCTGATTAAATTGGAATAGTTCTGTTCTCAGTCTCTGTGTGTGTCCTTCCTGCATGTGGGTTTAGATTCATGGTACTCTATGTGTATGTGAGAATTTTCTTTTCACCAATGTGGGTGTCTGTCTGTCTGTGAGTCTGCCTCTCTTTCTGTATATATGTGTGTGTGTGTGTGTGTGTGTGTGTGTACAGTACGTCAGACTGCATGTTCCCCTCCCCCGCATATTTGATTTGTGAGCGTGTTTCCTCTCTTCCCCGCCCATGCGCTCTGCCCAGGATGATGCCCGTCAGCTCTTCGTCTTGGCCGGCTCTGCAGAGGAGGGTCTCATGACAGCCGAGCTCTGCGGGGTCATCAAGAGACTCTGGACCGACCCTGGAGTGCAGAGCTGCTTCTTGCGCTCCCGAGAGTACCAACTCAACGACTCAGCCTCCTAGTAAGAGCTGCCCGCCCGGGACCATGACGCTGAGAGCCGCAGTGGGGGGGGGTCGCGTTCCTGGCTGGGGGGGGGTGCGTTCCTGGCTTGGTCTAGGGAGCACAAGCACAGCGTGACTTCAGCTGGAGATGAGGGACGA